GTAAGAGAACAAAAACTGAATATATATTATTTAGGACTTGAAATAAGATTCCTGTGTTTTATTGAATTGGCCAAAGGGAACCAACAGCTTAGTTCATAAAAAACTCTGTTGCAGCATAGAGAGCCATCAACCCCGCCACCCCTGCTGGCCTTGCACATATGAATAACAAGCAATTATTTCTGTGTTTCTGCACTGCCCTGTGAGGACACATTCCTCGCTGTCCTGCTGCAGCCTTGTCATACCAAACAGCATGTAAAAATGTGACCCATATGGTATCCCTTTGGACAAGCACTGATTGAGCTGTGTGGAAGTCATAGCCCACCCACAGAAGGAGAGTAAGGAGAACCATATGTGGTGAGATGAATTAGGTAAACTGCACAACATTTTTATTAGATACAATTTCACTTGCTATGTGGATCGACTGGAAGGTGACACTTTGAAAATAAACGTAGAGCCACAGGAAGAAAGTGATCCTCGGTTAACAGAAAAAGCAAATTAAACACTGTATTTACTAAATATAATTACAAACAACTAGTTTTCTGTCTAAAATGTGGTCTAATGTTGCTTTATCTCATTTATTTATGTTGCAGAAACGGGCTGTTAGTAGATGAGTAAATTAATGAATCATAAGATTAAGAATTAACTTTAACAATGTGATATTTATTCCATATTTATCTATACACAGTCCAACTGTGCCTGAAAAGACTCAATTAATTACTACAATAACTGTTACATTTCTGAATGTTAACTTCTTTTACCACAGGACAATCTTCAAATAATTGAAATGTTCTCAGTTTGTATTATGTTTCCAAAACTATTTAAAGTAAAAAAAAGAAATACATGGCATATGCATAACAAAAATAGCACATAGCTGTCCCGACCATACTTTTTACATTATCGTGCGCTTTTAAAGGATTTTGCTTTAGCATGACTCACTAATGCATTATCCTACTATAGTGTTTAAAAGAGAAGAAAATCATTCTGGCTTGTTATGTTTGGTTCTCATATCGTGCAAGAACATCTCTGAGTTGCCTCAGGCACAAATGCCGTCTATGTTGGTGGTCTGACGAGATTAGGTGCCGTTATGTCATCATTTTTGAATTGAATTAACCGAATATTGTCAATCAACTGCTTCTGGATATTGGCTAAATTATATTGAAAACGAACTGAATCTTCCAGCAGTTGTGGCTTTTGACAGAGAACCAGGTCTAGGAGGAATCGGAGCACTTAGACTGAATAAAAACTAATCTTATGAGAAGCTGCTGATATGATGTGTCTGTTTTCTTAATCATTCAAAAGAACAGATATGTTTGTGATAGCAAATCAATTTCAAAGGCCTTTGGAAGCATTATGCAGTGCAATATAGAATTATTTATATCCCCTGAACTTGTTGGTATTGCTTCCCTGTCTAACCACAGATTTAGATGATGTTCTGAATCTCCTTTCAGTATGCAGGAACTTTTAGCCATGACCTTGGCTAAAAGTTCCTGCATAGATTTGTAGATTTATAGATTAAATGTGGCACTTTTCTGACTTTGCAATATAATTGCTGTGATACAAAATAAACTTTTATCATTTGTTTTTGTTTCTTGTAAATATCTTCATAGTTTATCAAAATATAGTTTATTGCCTGAGATCTCCAATGTTTGCAGGCATCTGTTTCTTACCGGACTTACAGTTTACCTAATGGCCTATCAGCCTATTTATTGGTCAGGGCTCGCTACATTCAGAGAGAAAACCTGATTCCAGTACAGCAGCTTTTATCCTATTTCAACGCTGTTCACTTCCTGCCTTCACACTCTTACTGGTGTCTCAATGTCACAGTAATCCTAACCCTTTCATTGTTCTGGAATTTTGCAACAACGGCTAATTTTGGTTACTGTAATTGATCAATAAAAAAAAAAAACATTTTTTCTATCTGAAGTAGAAATGATAAGAAACAGTTGTGTGTCTTTTTAAAAATGTGTATATAGATTTATAGATTAAATATATTGAAGGTTATAAAATGACAGAAAATTTTAATAGGTCCTATAGCTACTGCATGCTTACACACCTGAATTTTGCCAGTGTAGTGTAAAAACACCAAACTACAGTATATGGAAGAACCTTAGAAATATGTACATGGTGGTTTTGGATTTTCTATGTTTAAAGTTGACAGCTTTATTTAAATGAGGTACTGTAGGTCGAGCACAAAGAAGCTGTGTTTAATGACCCATGGCCTTCAAACAAACCAAAAAATTACCTACTAGAAAACTATACAGAGTCCTAATAGTCCTAATAGTAAATAACCAAATAAAAAGTAAATAATCCTATTAAAAAGTCCTGATTAAGTTATTACATCACAGCTATTATCAAACGATTAAAATTATCTCATGTACATAATTATATGAAGTTTATGGCTGTACGATGACAAAATAAATAAATTTAATGGGCATTAATACTTTAACAAGGTAACTTACAAACCAAACAAATTGTTAAATAAAAATGGAATTGTTCTACACTTTAAAAAAGCTGCCTTATAACCTTTTCCAGCCTGTTCAGAGTTACACACAGTCTGCATGAATGCAAAGGCACTACTGTTTTCATTGCTGCTTGTTATTGAGCAGCAGGGTTACAATATCAATTTACACTATGTATTTGCATTACTGAACCTTTCTTCTAATGTTAGCAGGAGGTCAAACTGATAAAGATAATTTGCTGTTATAGTAAACTTTAACGGGTATTCCTTCACAGTAGCTCATATATTTCAGACACAGAAGAAATTTATCTGAATTAAAAGAAATCCATGAATTAAAACAGTAGATGGAATTGTTAAGTGGTTGCAGTAATCATGCCAGGCAACAGGCCGCAGGAATGCAAGTCATGCCTCAAGCCAAAGGTTTGAGCCAGCAGGTGGCCTCTTCTATTCACTAAATGTCAACACTTCTTTTTAGATGGAGTCTACATAACATCTGGGCAGGTCAGCTACTGCGTTTAATTAAGTGAAATATAGTTACTCAATGTTCTGCCATGTCAGTGGAAAGGAAAGAGAAATTGACAGTACATATTCTGTGCTCAGGGAAGGTCAGCACAGTTGTGTAAATAAATATTAAACCTTCAGCTAATCCCTGCATTTCCAGGATAACTGGAAATCCCTCTGTAACCAGAATACTTCGCTGGAAGAAACAAAAAGCCCTTGGCTTATTTTTCTGGAAGTTATGCTTATGCTTATCCCAAACGAAAGGAAAAATGCAATAACCCTCACTCCTCACTTTTGATGAGAGGTTAGTCTAAGCTTTAAAGAGACTTAAAAATACAAAAGACACATTTTTTAGATACATACATTCAGGCAGAGAGATGCATATTTTATATTACAATGATACTTATGGAGAAAGATTGAAGGTTTTTGTAGCAGAAATATTAATTATCTAATATTAACTACATTTCTTACTTGTTTTGCCTTGCAGGGTGACCATAAATAAACAGGAGGTCCATGGTAACCCCAGATGAGCTGCAGAGATCCACAGCTGATGTGGGAAAATCAGTTGATAGGACCACTCGTAGTTTGGTAGTATAAAAATTTGTAATAAAGAAGCCATTTAAAGTTATCTGCCATAATTTATTAACAGTAGGAAAGAAGAGTTGTATGAAATAAGAGGTCCAGGTCAGATGAGGACAAATTGTACTTCTTATTCAAAATGTAAAATGCCACACTTTTAGAAAACTAACATTGCTCATTATCCTGAACATATCATCCAAAGGATTAAACGTGGTGGTAACAGTGTTATGTTATTAGAAAGGGTCTCTAGCACAAGGGTAAAACAGCTGGTTAGGGATCATAGCAAAATGGATACAGCTAAATACAGAAAAATCTTGGAAGAAGGTCTATTATGAGACTGGGGGTGTCAGGTTTGGTGAAAGTTAGTTGAGGACCCAAATGCAGAGAAGAGGAGTGAGGGGTGAGTTAATGAAAAAACCAGGAGACGTCAGGGGAAAACACACATGGGGTGCCAAGTAACAACAAGAAACCAGCAATGAGGAACTGCAGAGGAGGTGTATATATGGGGAACAGAACAAAGAATGGGCAATTGAGATGATAATGAACAGGTGTGGTTAGAAGTGACCAAAAGAGAGCTAGGGGAAAGGAGACACAGGAGGCACAAGGAAGCAACACAGCTTAAATATAACACAAAATGCAAAATGAACCAAAGAGCAACAAAACAGAATGACATAGATACATGAAAACTCAAAGTCCAAAAAAGGGAGAATCATAACATATGGTGGATATAAATTGATTAGAAAAGAACACATCATATGTTTGGTAAAACAACGTATACTCAATAAAGGACTTCCAAATATTTCTTCATAGACTCCAATAAATCTGACTGAATCTAAATGTCGAAAGCTGGTAAAGATATACAGTATTCCCGAACACTTGCAGCTTAAAATGCAATAAAAGATTGTTTTGCAAAGTGACTTTATGCACATCGCACTTATATTTATTCAAAATGTTGAAAATCTTGTATAATTTTTTTTTTCTAATGGCATTGCAAGTGTCATTTTCCTTATAGTTCACATTTTCTCACTGCTTTGTGTTAGTCTGTAACAAAAAATGAAATGATGAAAGACACTGAAAGGCTGCAGTCAGGCCAAATGAAGAGTTTAAAGGATATAAATATTTCTTGAAGGTACTATAGATATCAATAGATATATTTTAACAATAAGGGTGACTACTTTGCAATAACATGCAAGCATTTCATATCATGCTTGTGAAACATTAATAAATCTGGGAGGATAGCTACTGTAAGCAATGGAGTGCTATGAGAGCTTCAATAAGAATATAAAGAGTTACAAGGTAAGATTGAAATGGTTTGAAGAAGTTAGATCTGGTCTAGAAGTAATGAGTGGAGAGGGCTTTTCCTTTATTCATTTTTGGGTTGATAAATTAAGGCAAGAAAAGATTTGAGATCAATAAAAACAAGAAGAACGGTTTCTATGGGAACATTTATTTGAAAAAAAAAAAGATTCAATCATTAAGTTATCCTTCTTTAAAACAAGCAAGAATTAATGTAAATATATGATGGTTGTAGCAATGAGGGTAAAAGAAAACTCACAATGTTTACAGAAACAGTTTAATATAATGAGCTCGTACATCATTGAGAATATAACTATATACATACTATCATAATAAAAGAAAAAAAATCTCTTTACAAGCCAAATTTGTTGAGATAAATCCGACTTAGAAAGTTTGATTTCTAACAAGCAGGACAGTTTGACAATGGGTTTGAACAGTTCCTATGAAAACGTTTAACCAGTAACATTTAAAGTGTTCAGTTAATGATATTTATCTAAAATGGATCATACTGACCTGTGACCTTTATCAAACAGATTTATGTCAGCAACACCGTTCTGTGTGTTTAATGCATGCATTGATCATCCCAAACCGCAACCATCTGGCACAGAACGTATAGCAAAACCACATTTTCTAAGTAAATATTTACAGCAAAATTTCACAAATGAAAAGAACCAGACAAAGTTGTCATAATGACTCCAGTGAAGTGTTTGCTCATAGAAGATATATAAATAAAATTATATGCCAGCGGACACACAAGTAAAATGATAAATCATGTAAAGTCAAATCAACATTTCGTACTAATTGGTTAAATATTACAGCATTCAGTGTAATCATTTTAAAGGGAAATAAATTAACCAATAAAACTTTGTATACATAATACTTTACATCAAATCACACCGGCAAAAGATGTGTTTATTAAGCAATTCTCGTTTCAGACTCCATTATTTAAACTGCCTCAAGATTAATGGCAACCGCAAGATCTGACGACCATATTTCTATATTTTTTCAAAATAACATTTGAGCTGTCATCAAAGTAAAGGACTGATATTGCGTTGAGCTTGGTTGGGGCACAGCATGGTTTTGGCACATTGTCAGGAAACATTAAATGAACCTATAAAGGAGAAGTATAAGAATTTTTAATGATAAGAGTATTATGAGGCTAAACACATGAAGAATGCACATTAAATAACACTTACCAGGGTTTGCACTATAGCATGATTAGTTGCATTCATTTGAGCATTAAGCGGAAAAGAGCATTCGCCATCACAATAAAAAGCAGCATAGCCCTCCGGTGCAATGATCCAATCCTTAGCAAAAAAAAAAAAATGAAAATAAATGAAAAATCCAACAGTTAGCTCATCTAGTTTATTGCCTGGAATTGCCTGTCCTTATTACTATGATATGAATTAATGTTACGATCATGCGGTGATTGGGTTAATATTTTCTTTTTACAAGAGTTGAAATGTTGGTCTCACCTGCCAGCCCAAATCTCGGAAGCTGACATAAAGCTCATGCTTTTTGCAGGCTTGTTTCTGTTCACTGGTGTTATAGTCTAAGGAAGAAAAGATTAGACAAAAAAAATAAATTCCATTTAGCTCCAGTTTGTTTTTCTATATATAATGACACATGCTTTAAATAATGTCTTTACAAAGAATTTAGCTTTTAATTTGGAATGATATTTAACTCTGTAGCACAGACAGCTGTACAGTATTGAGAATATTTTGTCTGGAATATAGCAGACAGGGAGTATTTCCAGATGCCCTGTCCGCACTTAGGAAGATTTACTCACCTTAGGATACCAAAGCTAGTGCCAATTAAAGGCACCCTGACCCACATTTCCATTAATTAAGGTAATAACTTTTGTGACTCAGTGACACTCTAAGAGAATCACTAAAAATGTCATGTACCCATGTCTTATGCAGTGAAAACACAGAATTCTGCAAACTTCATCGCAATATGAATACTCCACCTAAAATGGGGAATAATCAAAAGCAATGACACTAAATAGAAAATGACAAGATTTCATACTTCATAAAATATACCTTGTTTCCATACGCTATGAATGACTATTTTTCAAAAGCTTATCAGATTTGGTGTAAAAGGACACATTGACAGGAGGAGACAGATAGATAGATATTAATTTTCATGTTTTAACTGTAAAACTGATGAAACTCATATATCTGCACAACAGGGAAATCAAGTATGTGTAGCCAGAAACAAATTTATGTGTCCATCATTGTTAGGATTTTCATGAGATGGACTATAAAGTGTTGAAAGCAATGCGGTATGGGAAAAAAAACTGAAATACAAATTGTGTGAAGCATAATATTTTTAGTTTAACATTAGTTTAAATTATTTAAGACCCTTGAGTTGAACTTAACGGAAAAAAATTGCAATAAACTAAAACTATATGCACTACTGCAATAAGGCTCTTTTTGCTGCACTATGAGTTATATAAAAGTAGCGCATCACATACACAAATCAGCTACTATAATTTTGCGACCTTAACAGTAATAGTTATCAGTATATATAAAAAATATACATTCTAATGTTTTTCTCAGTGAAGAAAAGAATACAGAAAAAATGAAATATATGCCTTTAGAACTTATATGTTAAAATGACATTGTCATGTTATATGCCTACACGAGGAAAAACAAAAAACATTTGATCACGATAAAATAAGCTTATACACCAAGCAGCCATCCTTATACTGTTCATATAGTCCTTTTTGACCCTAAATAGATTTCCAGCACCAGGAGCAGACAAAAATTTGGTAGTTTCACAGAACTACATACAAACATCATAAGGCCCAACCACTCTGCAATACCAAGAGGTAAATTTATAACTTGCCACAGTTCAGATCAACAAGTGTTAATTAAATAAAATGATCTAGTCCAAATCTAATTTCTAGTGTATCCTCCCTAGAACCTCCTATCAGAACATCAAAGGAAAATAAAACTCCCAGTCTCAAAAAACACAAACAGGATCACACAGCATCAAAGTAAGAAGTACTTCAATTAAATAAATAAATAAATAAATAAAAGTCATAGACTAAAACCTTTTCTTTGGAAAAAACACAAATTGAATGCAATAAAATGCCCTCTCCCTGGAATTTTTTTTTTTTATCAGTCTTGATTTGAGTAGTCGGATGACTCTAGATTTTTAGCACAATATACAAAAATTTGTAAAAAAAAAAAAAAAAAGCCTAGAATTTGTTTTATTTAAGCAGCATATTCTTTAAAAAAATGCTCTCAATTATGCACCATTAACATTTTTAGATTTTTATTTCTTCCATTTTTTTTCTGTCTTAGCAAGATAAACCTGGGTCCAGTTCTAGCCTTGATTTTCACTGGAGGTTTTAAACAGTTCTGGATTTTAGTATAAGCACATTTCAGTAAGTAGCTGTATTCTTGCACTCCTATCCAGACATTTGGAGATAAATACATCTGCATTAAAAACCTGATTGTCTGGTATTTTCAACATCCTATTAAATGTTGAAACTACAAATAATATATCACTGATTAAAAATTCCAAGACACCCTGATACACTTAAAGTATGATTTTAGGTTTGATTTACTAAACTTTTTGTGACATCCAATGGTCAGACTTCAGTGAAATTAACTTCTCCCCCTCCAAAAATACGGAAGCTTTCATGGTACAAAATTGCTTCTTCAATATCCATGTCGTCTATCTTGTCAAGTGATGATGTAGTATAATTACATATTTTTATAAACAGCATTTAATAATTCCATGTTGGATATAGATATTATATAGGCCTAACATATGCAAGCTCCATTTGACTGTAACGATGATCACTACAGTCACTAGTTTTTTAGCACTGTGCTAACAAAGATGTCTGCCTCCATAAATGAGACTAACTCGTCCGTAATTATAAATAGCAATTTCTAAGGGATCACAAACATTAAAACAAAGAGTTTCAGTTTAGTTCATGTTAGTTTAACCTACTTATGTATAATATATTAAATTTCTTTCAGTAAATTCCATTAATTATTAGCTTTAAGTGGATTTTTTTTTTCATTTACTGAAAAAATGCTCTTAAATGTGGAAAGCTTATACAGTCAGCTTTAGAATATAAAAATTATAAGTTGGAGTTTATGCTATTCCACTTAAAATTGTTTTATTTTAAATCTACTTAAATGTCTTTACTTATAGTTATTAATTGATATGTATAAGACAGAAGTGCACACCTCCAGGTTTAGGTATCCTTGATGACTGCTGTTGATTGGTCGATTTATTGCGATTGTGGTTCTTTTTCTTCCCACCAGCAGCTCTTACTGAGCGGAGCAGTACCCCACTGGCCTTAAAGAAGGCAACGACGAATGGCTGTTTGGACTGCGGCCCGTTTCTCCCGATGATTCCAGCAGATTTTATGTTAATACTTCGCCCTGTATATAAAAAAAAAAAAAAAAAAAAACATGACTTTTAAAATGTATGGCTTATTTTATTACTACTTTTATGGTAGGCCTCAATAAATATCAGTCTAAATTTAAGATGTTGGTGCTGAAATTTGGAATCTATGTCTTTGTCTTTGAGATTTTATACTATTTCATTATTATAACTAGGGCTGAAACAAGTATAGAGACTTTAAAAAATGCTTTTAGCTAACCGTACAATCCAGTCAGAGCAGTACGCATATCAAAACTGTAAAAAAAAAAGTATATAAAAATTTAGCATTTAAGATCAAAAGATTTGTTTGTCTGTCAATATGCCTAATCCAGAAAAGTTTTGGTTTCACCTGATTTAATTTTGTGAAAATTAAACAAGGCAACTGACAACAAAATTGTTATTTGCAGCCCTAATTATAACATCTTTTTATAATAACAAATAGAAGTAAGTAAAAATTCTCAGAAGATTGAATTCAACCTTTTTTCTAGCCTAAACTGTAGTAAGATATATTTTAAAGAAATAAAGTTCTCTTACCATCCAAGGTTTCCACACCGAGCTGAAGGCCAAAATTTTGCTGCGGGTTCATTACCCAGTGGTTACTGGTTGCTGTTATATCAAACACAAGCCAGCCCCCATTGGATGCCTGCACCTTTTTGAAATCAAGCAAGAATGTCTCTGCATCTCTGGAAACACAAAACAGCAAAACAAAAATCTCTGTAAATGAAACCAAAAACTGTTAACACTTCTAAGAAAAAACTGAATTTTGATCTGCAAGTATTAGTTTTCAAAAGCCTGACAGCAAAAAGCACATGCAGCTATTGTTGAAAAGCTGTATACCGAAACAAAGGCAGTCATGTGGTTAAATATGTGCCAACACTTAGTCCATTTGAAGAACAAAACATTTGAAGGGCTATCAATCATGTAAAGCTTTTGTGCAGCTTTACCATGAGCTTCACACAAGGCAACAATCAGCCCATACTTGGAAAAATTATGATTAGAGAAAACCTCTAGTTTTCCTTCAACTCCTTTCAAGTGGCAGATCGGATAAGTCAGCAGCTGTTAGTTTTTTGTGGATTTACAGAGTAGCTTGGAATCATTTTGGGTTTTCCATGTCGTCTTAATTGTTTTGATTTAAAAATAAAGTTAAGCTTATTTTTTGGGGAACTTGGATTGGAACTTCCTCAGCAAAAATAACTTTTGTTGGGCCGTTATTTGAACTCTCATGATAAACATATAGTGATTCAATTACCATATTATGAGACAACATATTTCCCATTCCTTACTAAGTTGGTAAAAACACAGATTGAATAAGTAAAATCTGTTTGAATGGAAATGAAGTCAAACATTTCCCATGTTCTGAACTTAACTTCTCTACACAAGCAATTGTGATAATAAGCAAAGTTTAGAAAAATGTATAGAAGATTGAAGATATCGACTTCTATGATTGAACAGACTCTTAATTCTACCATAGAGTGCTGATTTTAAATGATTCACATTTTCTAAAACCACTGCTATATGTAAATATAATTAAGGATACATATGAAATATCACTTCTTACCTTCTTGCCACAATTAAGTGACCAATGATTATGTATTTTCTGAAGTATAAGCAATGTTACACTATGTCTTTAAGAGAGAAGAAAGCAAAACAAAAAAAATCATGGCAGTTATATTTCCAAAATATTGCAAATAATTAATAAACAGTATACTTTTGACAAAAGGAAGTTGAATTTAAATGAGGATTAAAATAATCCTGTGCAACTGGCAGCCTTCCTGTTATCTGCTCCAAGTCTTTCTCATAAAAAGCTTAAAGAATCTCACCATGTTAAAGAAAATTAGGGATTATTTCTAAACAGCTTATTAAATTTCTGTTACTCTTCTTTACTCGTTATCTAAAACATCTAATTTATTCTGCAAAAGTTTAAGCGTCCTTTACCTAGCAACAGCATCAAAAGAAGAGTGTTATAGTCAATGCATTGTGGTAAGAGTTTGGTTAATTAAGTTAGACAAATTTTACTTTTTTTCCACTTTTGTGCCAAACAAGCTCAAAATTTAAATAAAAATTATGCCGTTCTTTTCCCTTTGCATATGGGAGATGATATAAGCTTCAGTCATCTCTAGCATTGAAACTAAATGAATCATAGGGAATGGGCACACATTTCTTAAATATGTTTTAATTACTTTATCAGCTTAGAAGCATACCGTATATATACTGATAAAAACATATGGATCTATAAACAAATGGGACTACATTTATATACATTTGTGAGCTCTCATCATAGCTAAAGTCTCCTTGATGCATGTGAACACTAATCAGAATGAGCAATTCCTGTTGAAAACATGTGTATAAACATGAACTGAGCCCTCTTCACCTTCAAGACGGTAGAATCCATTGACTTGGACCTCTTCAACTCCCAAGAGTGCCATATCTTTCCTTCAATCATTCACACATTTTTTGGCAAGCAAATATGGGTCCACTTTTAAGCACACCCTTGTGTATTGAGCTATGTAATGCTTTAAACTTCCGGAATATTCTTAAGACAGGCAGGTGGTGGGCAAAACAGTGATAATGGCATCACCCAAGGGAGTGACCCTCGCCCTCCTAATGTGGTCACTAATGCCTCGAGTTGGGAAACAGCCAGCTCGGTAGGCAACACAATACGAGTGATAAGTGATGGACCTCCTAAGTTATACAAGTGTTTGACTTGCTAATGGAGTTCTCTTTATCCAAGAACTATATTTATAAAGGCAGACACGGTGCCATTGAAGAAGAACAGTTTTGGTTGAAGGATGATTGTTGGAAGCAGCTAGAACAACAGCTTAAGACGTTAATTGTTTCCTTAACAGTGAAACACTAATGATATATAACTTTTGGATAAGAGCAGATATAAACTCTTACCAGAACGATGTAATTGCTCATTTAAATCTGACAAAAGTGCTTTTAACTTAACCAAAATCATATACAGAAAAAAAAAACCTAGTAACGGTCTAAAGACACATATACTGTATCTCTTTTATTTCATAAAAATGCATAAATGTAATTTTCAGTCCCAGTAATCAAGTTTTTCCAAGCAAAACTATACAGATAAGACAGGGTACTGTACTTCCATGAACAATATAAAAGCTCATATGAAATTTTTATACATTGGTTACAAATAAATTATTTCCACTTGCTAATTGTCATTAAATAGATAAACATCACAGAGGATACAGAATCAGGAAAAGGAAGACCTCTAAAAGTCTGAATCCCTGTCAGATACAACTTTAAGAGAAAGTTTAACATTTCTCAATTAAAAAATAATGTGAAGGAATAAACACTATGAATATTTAAGAAGAAGATGGGTTTTAACAAAAGAAGTGACCTGTATAGGTGAGAAGCTCATATTTATACCTCAAATGGAAGTTAAAGAAGCAGACTTCTTTTCTGTCATGAGAAAATGGGGGAAAAAAAGCATATAGATATTGAAAATTTGGGCATTATTGTTACATTCCGTTGTGACCGAAGAAGATATCTTTGACCCAAAATGGGCATTTTTTTTGTAAAATTTGACAATCAACCGGGAGTAGTGCTGAGAGGAAATATGGAATAATTCATTTTAAAGAAATAAATTATAAACATTTCAGGTAAACAAGAGCTTATGCAAAAATGATGTTAATATAGTAAAGCAGGAAACTGCTGCTTTTTTTAATGAAATACTGCAATATTTAACATCAGTCTGTCTGCATTACAATAGAGAAGCAAAGAGGATAACCACTGCTTTGAGCTGAGCTTTAAAACTGACGGACAGATATGCTGGTCCAAACTGAGTACAGAATGTTGTAATCTGGGGATTTTTTGCCACAATTTGACTAAACTGTAAATTAACACAGCTTTGATTTTTTTCTTTGAACAGCCTTTTATATGTGTTTTTATTAAAACACATATAAAAGTAAATGCGTCATTACAGATTCTAACCAATTACAAATCGCAGTGTTTTCTAGATGGTATCTGCTGCTACATGATCCTGCTGCTCTGCTTCACCTGTGTGCGTGCGTTTTTTTACTGCTGTTGAGCGCTGTCAGCTCTGCTAGTGTCTCTAATATATAAAGATACATATGTTCCCAAAATTAAGCCATGCTATTCCATGACATCAGACTTTCTTCTCCTAGTTCTTCTTTGTTATTCTCTAATAGTGACTTAAATATATCAGTGGAAATATCTGATTCTTCACTGCTGTCTGTTTTGTCCAAGTTCCCACATCTTAAAAGAGGGCAACAAAATGTAAAAATAGCAGCCTGAAGTGCTTTTTAAGGGAGAGTTTAACCAATTTTTCTTGACATTTGTTTCAACAGTATTTTATAAGTTATGTTTTCATCCATATATTTGATTTTATATTAGGAAAAGGAAGTACTTTATGCTGTGTTATTATCTACAGCAAATGTAACGGGTGTAACAAGTCCCATTAAAAGCTTGCAAAAAGGAAGAAGCCATAACTTCATATACGGATCTCAGTTTGCAAATTGCGGTAGAGATAAAATATCCTGCGGTTGGATGAAACTGAGCCTGATGATAATATTGCTTTAAAAACATTTAAAGGATGAAGTGTGTCACCATGTTATGTGTGTTTTTTTTTACACTTCATAAAACAGACAGTTCCATGATAAAAGATATTAGACTGAAAACATCGGAGTTACATATCATGTATCAAATGACTTACAAAGTGGTTCAAGGACAACAGAGTCAGGGTTTTAGGGTTTGCATCAAAATGCCCTAATCTGAGTCCCATATAATACATTATGGATTTAAAATGATTTCTATTTCGCTACATCAGCAGCGCCCTCCATCATCCAGTGTCCTGCACCTTTTAGATGTGTTTCTGCTTCGACACACCTCAATCAAATAATTGAATTACCTCCTTGGTGAGTATTGAAATTCTCCAGAGTACTGCTAATGATCTGGGGTCTCATGTATTAAGGTTGTGCACAAACAGGGCTGGAAACGCTTTAATACAGACTTCCATGCAAATGTGATGTATAAAAAAGCAAACTTCAGGTTAAAATCTGCGGTCTCTCAAGCAGTTAACTTAACCATACTGGGTATGCAGATATTGGAGACAGGGGAAATTGGCAACACAGATGGTGACTGATGCCAAATTGCACCATTATTCATCACAGACATTTAATTTTATTTAATATGAAACTTGATCGACTCTATCAGATTTGAAACCGAAGTGTGATATATGCTGGCACTGCTGAGACGACCTGTCACACAAATTGGAAAAAACAAGATTTTCACAAGAAACTTAAGTTTAAACTCAAAAACCTCACTTTCATCTCCTTGATAACCAACGTGGTGAGTCCTACCACAGACCGATGTAATAATGTAACAAAGTGTGAGGAATTCTCAGAGATTGCTCTAAATATTTTATAAAGTTCAAACGCCCGTTGTATTGGTCTGAAATGGATACTTTAATTATGCTGGACTCTTGTAAATGGTAGAATGGGGATAGAATGGGTTTTAAGGGATCACTAAGATTTTCTGGCCCATTAAGCTGAGCATGGCTCCTTGAGCTACTGCATGTGCTGAATTGGATCCAGTGTTGAAGAGGCAGGTTTGATGCTACCAAAATTCCAATAACCCCAAATAATCCATTAAATATTAGGATACATCTAGATATAGGATGATGTACCTAAACACAACAATTTTGGTCCATTTTCAATCATAGAGATATGTGTGCGGATATATCCCAGATTTCCAGTTATTTTTGTTACATCTGTTACCAACTTTGATGTTCCTTAGAAACAGCTATAATCAGCGCAAACTTACAGATTCCCCTTAAGGATGTTTAATCAAGAAAAAACATCTTGCTAAGCCACTTTTAAGAATATAACAATCTATATCTATTATATTACCCGTAAATCTGTGATATCACAGCAGGCTATATGCACAGTGCTGCATGTTGTTTATATTAGTCTATCAGACTCCGAAGGTGTCACTAATAATACTTATTTTGTTTTATTCGTCCCTGCACTGCCGTGCTTACCAAACTTTTTTCTGGGTCTCCACCTCATTTACTAACACATCTATTTGTTTGTGCAGGACACCAGACCTCAAAGAATGGATGTAAAGACCCCTGTATTATGTGTTTAATGCAATATCCAAATAAAATAAAATGCTGTATGTTGCAAAGTGTTTACTACAGTAATTCACTACATAAGTTTCAATAAAGTAAATTAAGCCTCTTAATTGTACTTAAAAAGAATTTTAATGAAATATATCTTAGAAAGACACAACTGAATCTGAAATAGTTGACAATAAATCAATGTAGTGGCAGAAAAAGAAATTAATTTTGATCAATTAAAAAACCATGTGTGTAAATAGACAAAGTTTTAGTTAAACAGTGGCTTTATTTTAAGTGTTTCTGCTCATATATACTTACTTGTTCTGATATTCTTTGGTGACTTGATATATGGAAACCTTGAGGGTGATATTGTTGAAGCGAGCATGACTGCGGTCCTTGTAGATCCTAAATTCTGCAGCGGTCACCGCCTCTCCATCTGGGATCTGAGTCAGGTCGAAACGAAACTCCTTATAGTGTCTTCTTTGGTGAGAAAAATCTTTATCTTTCTCCACTGGGAAAAGAAAATATTTTATGATGAACTTCTGTATTACTGCCAAATAAATCTCAACAGAAAATATGAGTTCACCTCCTGAACTGCTGAACTGCTTCTTGTGTTGCATGACAGAGAAAAGCCAGCATGAATTGTAGGAGAGAAAAAAAAGAATATTTATCACATCTTCTCTTACATTCAAGGTCCTACCTAAACATTTTGAGTACCAACAAAAGCACTTTCCAATTCATTAAATCCGTCAACTGAATACAGGTAGCAGTTCCCAGACAGACCCTCTACTGTGTGCCTTACTGCATTCTCCGACCATGATGAATGAGCTGTCAGTTAAGAAAAACAGGCTGATTTCAATTAAAAACACTTTCTGCTGCTGCAGAGCAGAAAGAAAAGGACAGGATTCTTCATAGCCCATGCATGTGAGTGTCTGCTCTGACCTCATTTCTGACCTGCAGTTCACCTCTACTTGGAATTCCCAGAGGAGTCATTCATGATTTTAAAATACAAAGAAGCAGTCTTGTTGAAAGCGAATTTAAGAATAAAACCAAAGCAACAGCATCAAACATATACACTGGAGTAAGAAAATGACTTCAGCTATCTCACACATTCCTACCTAACACAGAAAGGAGGAACACGGTTGAGGTCAGCGTGCGTCCTGAAACTGGTGGTGATATCACAAAGGGTGTTTGCTTGATATTTTATCAAGAGAGAGCGCATGTGGTTACTTAGCAAAACCAAGTCAGAGGTCAGGTCGGACTTTAAACCACTGAGTGGCTTCTTCTAAATTAGCCACAGGCTGTAATCTGAAGCAGAACTGCCACTGGGAGGAAAGAGCTTTAAACTTTTAGTGTCTGAAGCTTCAATAAATCCCTCCATGCAAAGTCTAAACAGCATACAAATTGATCCCTGTTAAAAAAAATAAACAAAAGAAAACAAAAAATAGTATTTCTTATTTGAGCATATACAGTATTTAACCCTCTTTGAGAAGGTTGCTCAGTAATTATCAAATCAATTTAGTTACAGTTTGGCATGTGCTACTTATTAGTATTGAGGAGAGCACTAGTTTGCCATCCCCTGTGTTGCTGTGCAATGCTGGTCATCTTGCTAAAGGAAGGCTATATTTCTCTCTCACTCAATATAAAGACAGATTTGGTTGTGTGGAGTAGTCTATCATCAAAAACACAGGAACAGTTACCGGTTGAAAATAGTGCCATGTATCACCCTGCTTTATATATATATATATATATTGCATATATAAATATAGTTGTTACAAGCAGCATGTCTGTAAAGATGCTGAATGCAGGCTAGGCACCAATAAACGTGGCTCTATAGACTTACTGTTATACTATTAAGCGCAGATTGGCAAGAAAAAAAACGACATTTTAAAGTTACTTTTAATTTAATGTGCCTGCATGTTTTGCTAAAGTCTATTCATTGGAATAAAATAATAAACTGTATTACAGATGTGATTTCTTAAGTCATTACAATCAATATAACTATTTCAGCAAAAGTAGAAATAATGTTTTTTCAGTTTCAAATAAAACCATGTTGATTATTTTTGATTCATTTTTTTCTTTTCGTGTAAATATGAATAACTTGTAAGGAGTGCATAGCATCCCATGTCTTGTTTTGCGGCATTGTATTAAACTGCATGAAAACAGCACCCAGATGTTTTTAAAACAGTTGAGGTGAGCCGCTCAACACAGCGACTCACCTCAACTGTGTTACTGTAATAAAGACAAGAGCCTCTTTGAGAAATGGACTGAAAGTCCCCCAGAATGAGAGCCGAAATTTCAAGGCTGACAGCGTACATGCCTGGGTAGAGTGGTAAGTGGAAACAGATGGCCACAGACCAAGGTGAGGAATTATTATTTCAGGAAATGCTGCATACATTTACTTTTTTCTTATTTTTCATATTTTGCTTTCTTTTTGAAAAATACAATGCCCTATCCTATAAGATGCAAGATATACATCTTGCAGTGAGCTGCTCCTATTGTTTTCAGGGATTCATTTTATTCTTTCTTTATATGTTCTGACCTGCTGCTTTTAAATAATTCATTTTGCTTCAATTCTTCTCATTGCAGCAACAAATAAATCTAACAAATGGTTGTAGAAGACTGCCACAATGACAGAACCTTACATCGAGGCGTCCATCAATATCATCCCCCTCTCTCTCTTTTAACAACAGGAAATAATTTAAACCAATTTTCTCAAGGTCAGACAGTCATCTGATAAGCTGCTGTGAACTGCTGGGTTAGGGGTAGCAGCTACCGAACAAACACAATCAAGCGTTATATTCACTGATAGGTGCACAAAGAAAAAGGTCTACAGCACAAATGTTACACTGGATTGTCTTCAATGCATGCACCATTAATGCAGAAAAACTTATGAAACTTAAAGAAGTATGGTTTCATATTATATGATGGATGTTCATACATATAAAAAGGAATATTTTATATGATTTATGAGACATATTTTTAAATTAAAGTAGTTTATACAATAGTTTGCCTTGGCAGACAGGATTTTAATTAATTCACCACTATGGTTGGTAACTATTTGAAACAGTAGAGGTACATGAAATGATTTTGTTATGGTTTCACTTTTTTTTAGAGTTCTTTAAATGACAGTATACCATATAATTTACTAGTAATAATAATAAAAATTATAATACTTCATTAGTTTTAACCTATATAGTAAATCTAAAGACTTAAGTTTAGGTTTATTGAAAAATGCATGTTTGTTTTTAATTCATTTATTATCCTCATGTAGCCAAACACTCACCTAAATTGACAAAGCTCATAACCATGTCAGCATCATTCAGGAAATGTGCGTCACGCGCCGTGGTTAGTGCAGGACTCTGGCCCAGCAGAGGGGCCGCTCTGTAGGGCTGCGGCACACGGGAGTAGCTGGCTTGCTGCGGGTTATAGTAACTTTTCTTGGAGTGCCCTTGAGCCTTGGCACTGTAGCTCCTTCCTGCGCTTCGGTTCAACACCGCAACACCCTCCTCCTCCTCCCCTACGGCCATGGCGTTGTAGAGGTCGAGCATGAAAAGCGGCGCGGAAGATGCCTGTTTTCCAGGAGAAAAGGGCCTCGGACGGTGAGGCAAACCCAGGATGGAAAGGATCTCTCTCTGGATCTCCCTGCGCTCGTGATTGCGCAACCTCCTGTAAATAAAGCTGGAGTGCACATGATTGTTACTGAGAGCGCAGGAGAGAAAACTCAGACTGCTCCAAGCAAGTGCGAAAAGTGCGCGGTTCAGAGTGTAAAGCGCTGTCATCCTGGCAGAAAATCTCTCTCAGGGATGTGAGGATAACATTGCAATATCTAAGAAAGAAAAAAAGGGAAAAAATCCAAAAGTCTATGAAATATAGATTCATAGACCTATAAAAAAAGAGCAGCCACAAGTTTCACTGTGGAGCATATTTTGGTTCTAGTCTGCAGGAAATCTCCTGTCGGGTGTGAGAACTTTCTCTGAAAGTAGGCCCTTTTATTCCTGCGAGGTCTATCCAGAGTATTTATGAAGCGGTGACCCCGTCCCTCACCTTACTCCTCTGAAAGGTACGCCCAGGATGTCGGGGGGATTATACGTTTACAAGTGGATGAAATGTGGTGAACTGTGACAAAAATATGGAGAGAGGAAAAAAAATCAACTCATGCCCCAGCTCGTATATAACATGCAAAGTTCTATATATTTCATGCACTAACTGGGGTTATAGTTGCCCTTTGGGTCCATCCCACACTTGGCTCTTGTTTTCGCATCCTCCTCTAGCGGCTGCAATAAAACTTTAGCCCGGGTCCCGTGATGAATGTGGCGGCTTCGCAGTGTAAAAGGAGACACTTGAAATCCGAGAGCCCAGTCTTAACGAGTGAAAGAGTAATGACAGACCTTTTAATCACCTCAACTTATTGCAGTCAGCGTGTTTATGGGTGAGCGCGCCAGCTGCATTCACTGCTTTTGATCCTACTGTAAGTAACCTTTGAACGTGAAGTGATAAAAAAAAGTGAGGTAGTAATAAAAAATGAGCCGTTCTTTTCTTGTCGTGTAAAACAAGGACAGGGTCATAACATTCGAACTGTATACATATATTAAATATATAAAAAATATACTTGCATATAAAATATCTTTTCTGAGGGAAAGATGCAGAAATTTATCCTATAATTTGGCCTAACTAAGGAAATAATGGTGAGAAATTTGCATAATAAGCATAGTAGAATAAGTAAAAACAAAGATAAAACTTTAAAATTAATGTTTTGTTTTTTTTATCATAGTCCCATTACTTAGTTTAGATTTTACACTATACTACCATCTAGTGGACAATGTAAATACTACACTTGTTCTGCAGTTTCAGTGACTTGCTGCTTACAAATATCTGCTTACATTTTTCTAATATTTTAAAGGGATTTTAAGTACTAGATTGGCAAAATGTCATGCAAAACTGTGTATGGGAAAAAATATATACTTTTTATTAATTTTATGGCTTTAAGTCTGTACAGAAGCGTAGCCAGTAATTTTTTTATAAAGGTGGGCAGGCAATAAGTAATGTACATTGAGGGGTGGCCAAAAGTGGATAGGCACCAAAACTTCAGGGTCAATCCACACTGCTCCAACAGGAACAAGCACAACGTCCATATTTCTAAATAAAGACAAACTATAGTTTCCTACATCCTTTTCTAACAAATAGATGTATATATTTAAACATCCATCTAGATAAAAGCTATATTGGATAAAATTCTTTGAGGTTTGGGCTCTGGAGCGAACATCTTTTCCATCGTCATCACTTACCTACTTTTATCAATATCATTCTAAATTAAATTGATATTTATGAGTACTAATATCTACATAAATTGATAATTTAATAGGTTTTTAATAAAATAGTTATTTTCAGTATCTATAATTTCACTGAAGACTATTAGATAACTTGCAGAGACACATCACCGTCTCTTTAAGGCATATATCAGAAAATATATTAAAATGTTTTTAATATTCTACTTGAGAGAAAAAAAATGTTAGGGGTGGCCATGGCCACCCCTGGCCTCCCATCTAGCTCTGCCCCTGAGTGTGTAAAGTATTTTCTGTGCATGCCTTTTCTCTGATGCCATTAAACATCCCTTTTCATTTAAGGTTTGCGGTTAGCCTTGCACTCCCTTATTGTTGTCTTTATATCAAGAAATCATACAGAAATTGTATCAGAAACACAGCAAAGATGTTAAAAGCCCCAAAAAAGTATGTATGTGGCAGAACTCTGATGCTACTTTCAGACAGCAAGCGCTAGAAGCAGCAAAAAAGCTTCTGCTGCTTCATTTTTGATGCTTGTATACAAGGTCTGACACGCCTTCAAGAGCATCTTTGACACTTTTGAGGCACGTCCAGTAAACTGTGTCCAGGTGCCTCCGATGCTTCTGCTGCGCCTGTGTTCAATGGCAGAGAGTGGCTTTGCTATGTTTGCTGTTATAAATGGGTAAAAAGTAGTTTTAACATGTTTTCAAGTGAGAAAGTCCATCTGAAAACATCATTTGTGCTGTCAGCTCATCAAGATTATGATCCTGCCTTCAAATATGATTTTGCTGCTGGACCAGCACGGAACCTCAGTTCACCGGCAGTGCTCTGTCACTGGAAATCCCCTTCAATGGCAGCCTCTGGGCCTCTAAGCACTTGGAGGTTTTCCGCTACTGTAATTGGTGGCTGGAAGGTTTTTTTCATGTATGTTATCCAAATTGAAGGCACCAGAATAATAAAAGTGAACCTAGTTTGCCTGCAGGTTTTGACATTTTAAGTTAATTTAGATGTTAATAAACTGTTTCAGAGGAGTGATCATAGCGATCTGCATCAGCAGTGCTGTGTTTGTCTCCCTGCCAGCTCCCCGATCAGCTTCTCTGATTGGTTGATGTGGTGCATCGAGCAGCAACAGTTAAATTTTTCAACTCCAGCATCTGCTGCTTGCGGAACGTGCCTCAGATGCTTAGAAGCTCACTGCTTCAGCTGCCCAGATGCGAGAAAATCAGGATGCGCTGCTCCTGCTGCTTTAGACACGCTGCAGGACCTTTTGATGCACCTTGAAGCATGTCAGCCATTCACTTTGCACATAAACCTGCTGCTTCTGCAGAGTGTGGTCTGAACGTAGCATAAAACTTCACATCACTCTGAAATATCCATGTGCTAAAAAAATGATGGAGGTAGCATCATGCTTCAGACATGCTTTTTTCCTCCTTGATTCCTGCATATTTTCCTGTTTTCCATCTCTGACCTGCTTTTCCTTTTCTGACTTGCACTGGGTGGAGGAAGGACTCTTTTTCTGAGTCTCCTTGAACCTCCCCTGCACGCCCTGCTTCAGCTCTGTTTTGTCTTGTTTTGAAACCTACAGTATATGCATACCTTCAAAAATCTCCTCGGATAATTGCCACTGGGACAGTGCTTTGTGGACTTACTTTACACACACTCACATTCACACCCTTGCTTATAGATATAAACATACATACCGCCTTCCCAGTTCCTCCCTGCAAGATGTTGTTTTGCATCTGTGTTGCTTCTTTTTGCTGATATTTTTTTACAATCTCAATCTGCATCCTGTTAAGCATTAAGTCTAAAATATGATTTGTTTTTCATCCTCTTACCCATTTTCATCCCTCTCTCTTTTTTTCTTAACTTGTCTAAGGGCAGGAACTTTAAAAGCAGCAAGGCCTCAAACATCCCGTCCCCCCATGTCTCGTGTCTGTGCTTTATCTTTTCTTGGATGGACTGCGATAAAACTCAACCTTACCCTGCTGGAGTGCTACTTTAGGCTGGATGAGAAACAAAGCATTTTTGATTCAGATTCTTGTGAAATTCCTGACAAGCACTCTTTCCTCTAAGGCTATGTTCACACAGTAGCCTGAGGTGCCCCAAATCCAACCTGTGTCTAATCTTTTCATGATAGTCTGAAAAACACAGATCAATTTTTTTCCAATGTGGCCTTGAATCCAATACCTATATCTTTTCAATTGCGACCTGTGTCTGAACGGCCAAGTCGCATTCATCCGACCTGACCGTCATTAATACTGCAACAAAGGTCCATATTCTGCTTCTTGCTACTCAAAAGCGGGAAGAAATGTAACAGCCATGGTGGATGATAATGCAGAAAGTAGTTTTATTTTCAACCCTCTTGAAAACATTGTTTTTTTGATTCACTAACTGAAGTTGGGAAAAAAATGAAAGATTACAAGATGTGCTCCAGCACTACCATCCATGTTTACTTCCGTAAACACACAGCATGCTCGCTTGTGACGTCATTGCGTCCTACATAAACTGCACATTCAGGACACTTAAGTTCTTTTAATGCAGTTCACAAACGACTGCGCAAAAGAATCGGATTTCACAAAAAATCGAAAATTAGCGCTGAGCAATTGTGCACTGCCCTGCATTCTCAGCGCATTAAGGAAATCTCAATTAGAAATCTCAATTAGACCAATAACATTATTTTCTGTATCATTTTGAAATGCAGAATACATTTAAGAGTTCTTTTTGGGTGAACATGTTCAGTAAAATGGGAGTGTTCGTTAAAATAAGTTCAGCAAATGAACTTATTCAGTGCATCAAACAAAAATAGAGAACCATTAGAGAAGGACAGACGTGAAAAATAGATATAATTTAAATCAGATTTGTTTAAATTTAGTGACATTACTTAAGATTTCTTATATGGATATTAATCATGAAATGCTTTAACAATTGTATAATTTAAAGCTACAGTGTGTAATTTTCAGCGACATCTAACGTCCAGAATGCAGCAACATGAACGTCTCCCCCCCACCGCTTCTCCCCCCCAACAGTACGGCGAGCGTTACGGGACAAAATGTCTTCCACGA